ACTGTCAACAAAAACATTACATCAACAAGGAAATACAGTAATAATTATGATGATGATGATTGCAGGACACAAAACATGAATATTGAATAATATAATAACACAAACAATGATGGCAAAGAAAAGCATCACATGATCAATTTCTACAAAAGGTTGGGGGGGAAGTAGATAAAAATATGACTTATAATTGAAATATTATAAAAAGAAATTGGAGACTTGATTTTGATTGCTCAAGGATAAGCTATTTATTTAATACAATAATCCAAAGTGCAGATTGTGCAAATTGGTAGAAGAAACAGGAGATCAACAACAAGATTGTGCAAACTGACTATAAACAGCTATATAACATAGTTATCAAAATGATTCACCGGAAGCTTGATCATATGATCTTATGACAGTAATGAAAAATTGGTGGCACATAAGAGTTGAAAAAGTGATCGAGATACAGCAGGTTAAAATATTGTGGAATTTTTTAAATAAAAAGTGATTGTTGTGTATATATTAATACAGCCTCCCAAAATTTGATTAAACACTGTATTAAATTGATCAAAGGATAAACCAATAGTTTGAAGATGATTTTACTATTATTCAAGATTAAATAAATCATCATCCTAGTATTTTTCTGCTTGTTCAGAATTAAATAAAATGAGTAAAAATATAGCTGCATCATCATCAACACCACTACTTCAAATTCAAGTCAAATCAAATACCTTTATTATGAACAAAAACAGATACATAATAAAACTCAGAACTATAACAGATGATAATGATAACAAGTATAAATCAGTTGGCTGCACATTTTGCACACAACAAAACAGAACTTTGCCATAATTAGAGGAACAGAGTCATGAATATCTGAAACAACTAAGTAAATTGATAAGAATAACTGAGAAATTTACTTAAATGTAAGGTTACCAACTCTGATAGTGTCCTAGAAAACAAAGTGTTAATAAAAGGTATTTAGCAGTTTTGAGAATGTCTTTGCCACATGAGCAAAATATTTGAATCTCCCATCTAAAACTGTAGAAAGGCATCAAACTGAGCCAAGGAGAATGTCCTCCTATATGTAGAGAATATAAGCTGGCTTAAATAGCTAAGGTCTAAGGAGAATGAACAAGCTGGTTAAGAGTATATCTTTGGAAAGGGATGTTAGGTTTAATTAGATATCATTATCTCTAATCCAATGCCTCAATATTATTATGGCAATAGCTATAGCAATAGCACTTAGACATACTGTATATACCGCTCCATAGTGCTTTACAGTGGTTTACAATGTCAGCATATTGCTGCCAACAATCTGGGTCCTCATATTGTCAGTCTCAGAAGAATGGAAAGCTGAGTCAAATTTAAGCCCATCAGCATCATTCACACCTGAATGCACAGAATTGAGACAATGAAAATCCAAGGAGTTTCATTTACTTTATTTTATTTTATTTTGCCTATTACTTTGGGTCAGGATGACATTGTGCTGTCAATAAAGGTCCAAGATTTACAGAAGTAAAATATATATCTGCCCAATATGTGAAAATATATAACTGTTGGTTTCAATGCTCCTGATGCCAGCCTCATGAGAAGAATTGTGTTTTAGCTAAAGCAGGAGGCAGGAAATTCATTCCAAAGCAGCTTGATCTCAGCTGTTTCTGGAGTACACTGTGGGTCCAATTGGGCACCAAGTAACAACTGTGCTCTAACATTAGTTCAAAATACTTCGAGTGCAGCTGGAATGAATAAAGTTTTTTACTACTGAAAAATTATTACAATGCAGTTGTAGTTCTTTGGTGTTTCCTGCTCCATATTCCCTGTGCATTCTAGATGAGGTTGCAACATGAAAAACTGTGCTTCAGTATTTAAATGATTTAACCTGCTCAATCTATTTTCTTAAAAAGGACATAACTAGCACATTGCAAGATCATATATTGCTTTCTATGTTATAAAGATGATTATAAATCCATATTGGGATATCCCATGCAAGCATAAAATATTCAAATTAAATTGTATTGTAAACAAAGAACATTTTGGAAGAAAAAAAAAGCTTAAATTTGTCTCATCCATGAATGTAATAGGAAAACTTTCATTTACTCCAGGATGTGTTTCAGCAGGTCACATCACTGTTGCATAGAAAAAGTTATAGAATTTAAAAAAAACAAAAACAGAGAGAAGTGAAATTCTCCTGAGATTCTTCTTAACGATTAAATAACACTGAACAGCAAAAAACAAAACATTAATTCCTTGTGTAGGCATTGTTTGTTTGAATGATGATAATAATAATAATAATAATAATAATAATAATAATAATAATAATAATAATAATAATAATAATAATAATAATAAAGTTGGAAGGAACCTTGGAGGTCATCTGCTCAGGCAGGAAACCCTATACCATTTCAGACAAATTGCTGTCCAGTCTCTTCTTAAAAACTTGCAATGTTGGAGCATTCACAGCTTCTGGAGGCAGGTTGTTCCACTGATTAATTGTTCTAATTGTCAGAAAATTTCTCTTTAGTTCTAGGTTGCTTCTCTCCTTGATTAGTTTCCTGCCTTCAGGTACTTTGGAGACTAGCTTGACTCCCTCTTCTTTGTGGCAACCACTGAGATATTGGAACCCTGCTATCATGTCACTCCTCATCTTTCTCTTCATTAAACTAGACATACAGTACCTAATTCCAGCAACTGTTCCTTATGTCTTTTGGCCTCTAGTCACCTGATCATCTTTGTTGCTCTTCTCTGTACTTTTTCCACTTATACTATACCTGTGCATTTAATTTTCTTGCCTAAATGTAGAACCTTAGTTTTTTCATCACTGAATTTCATTTTGTTTGATAGCACCCAATGTTCAAGTTGTTCAAGATTCTTCTGTATCTTAAGCCTATCTTCTGGAGTGTTGGCTATTCCTGCCAGCTTAGTGTCATCTGCAAATTTGATGAGTTTCCCACCTATCCCCTCATCCAAATCATTGATGAAGATGTTGAAGAGCACTGGGGCACCCCACTATACACTTCCCTCCGTGTAGATATGGTTCCATTGAGGACCACATGCTGAGTATGGTCGGTCAGCCAGCTAACAATCCATCTGGTGATGATGCTGTCTAATCCACATTTTTCTATCTTATCAAGTAGTAGGTTGTGACCTACTTTATCAAATGTCTTACTGAAGTCCAAGTAAATTACATCCACAGCATTCCTCTGGTCCACTAATTTTGTCACTTGGTCAAAGAATGCAATAAGATTTGTCTGGCATGATCTGTTTTTGACAAACCCATGTTGGCTTTTTGTAATGACTTTTTTCAGATTTGTTGTTTGATTATCTTTTCCAGAATCTTCCCAGGTATTGAGGTCAGGCTGATAGGTCTGTAGTTTCCTGGATCCATTTTTTCCCCTTTTTTGAAGATGGGAACTACATCAGCTCTTTTCCACTCCGCTGGTAGTTCCCCAGTGCTCCAGGTTCTTTGAAAAATGTAGTTCAGTGGTTCTGAGATTACATCTGCCAGTTCCTTCAGAACCTTGGGGTATAATCCATCTGGTTCTGGTGATTTGAACTCGTCTAGGCTGGACAGGTGCTCACTTATAAATAAGATAGGAGTGGGAGGAATTCAAATTTTCAATCATACTATGTGTATTATTACATATTTACAGAAAATCTTACTCACATTTAATTCATATGATTAAATATATATCAGTATAAGGATGAGATATAAGGAGAGAAGGGTCTGTATTTTGTACTTGCTCTCCCTTGTAAATACACACACACACACACACACACACACACACACACACACACACACACACACACACACACACATATAAAGATAGGGCTTTTTGTCATAGAACGCCCAGAACAGAGTTCCGGCACCTTTTTTTGGATGGAACCTTGTAGGGTAGGCAAGGCAGGTTGTATGACATGTGTGAGTTCCGGCACCTTTTTTTTTTTTTTTACAAAAAAAGCACTGCATAAAGAACACCTATTATCTCATAAGAAGAAAATGAAGAATTTCACTAAAGGAATAGGCAGTATCTTATCCCTACAGGCCCAGAAATGAAGGTTAAAATCATTCTTAAAGATTCAAGTTTAAAACTCTGAAGAGTTATGTAGAGGCAGTGAACACAATACTGAGTTACACAGATTAATGGTGCATTTAGTATAAAACAGTTTCCAATGACCTGAATAATTTATTATGATTTATTATATCCTAACCTTTCATCTGTAAAACTGTGCTTGAAATGATTGCCATAACAGGAAGGGGGGGCTGCCTATTCACAGAATGGCTATTTACCAAAAGTTAACTAATGAAGTTACTCCCTGTCATATGCTCTGCTCTTCCAGAATGCCCCCTTGTCACCTTAGTGTATTTCAAACTTTGAGTGGACAAATAAATTCTCTTCCAGGCAAATCTCTAGATTGCAGCAATCCACCATATTTGTATTCTACAATATATGTAGCCTAGAGTCATTCTTTGGAAACACAAATATAACATTTTTTTTTTTTTGAAAAACACTGATGTAGACATTATTGTTATATTGCTTAGGTCTGGGAAAAGACACCAAAATATGAGATTATATATTTCTGAAAGTTGCTATGCTATTGCAATTATAATTATTTAGCTTTATCGTCCACTTTTAGGTGCTCAAACAGCCCACACAGTGCTCTTTCTCCTATTTTATTTCACAATTGTGTGAAGTAGATTGGCCCTAGAGAGAAAACGACCCAGTCCAAAGACAGCCAGGGAACTTCTGTAGTTGAGGGTAATTAGAACCTGCTCTTAGTCCAACATCTTGAACACTGAGTACAGAAAACTGAATCTCCCTCCCCACCAAAATTTGTTGGGTTTCAAATCAGTACTGCCCTATATGCAAGGCGAGCATTATCATGTACTACTACAACACTGTAAATGCTGCCATATTAATTTCTTGAGTTTTTAAAAATCAATAGAAATGATTGGAAACTTTTAAGCACTTCAACTATATCCAAACAGTCCTGGTGATTTACCAAATATTGTAAGCACCGACTCTGATCAGTATAAAGTTTAGTAAGGTTAAACAAAGCATGGACTCAATAAAAAAGACATAAACAGAAATGAACAAATTCAAGAAGTATAAATGCACAAACAATGAATGAACTTTCCCCCAAGAAACCATGCAATGCAGCTTAAGTCTGCCATATAATGCAATTAAACATCCACAAGATTCCAATTACAAGGGATATAATTATCAAACAATGGCAGCTAATTGTACTGCTAACCTATCCCCAACCTCTTTCAGGCAGCTTAGTTCACTGCAAGCCTTCAGTGATTGAAGCTGTAGACAATTCTGAGACCAAATGACCAGGCCATCCTTCTTCAAAGCTTAACTTTTTTAAAGTCCACAATACTCCGAGTAAATATCCTTGTTGCTCCTAATCTACTGATTTCTCCTTTGCTTAACCTAACATTAACATTACATTCAGTAAAACAATAGAGTAATGCAGAGTGTTCCCTGTGCTATCCTATAATGATGGTAAGCTCATTGGATATTAGACATAGAGAGATCATCAAATTAATTCAAACTTGTAGCATGTGTTGCAGTATAATTTGAGTACTGTATATGTATGCAATACATACTACACACAGAGAGACATATAGTGTGTGTGTATATTATATAATATATATTGTATATACTATGCAGTGCTCAAAATATATTGCATCACTCCATACAATAACATATAATTAGTTTATTCATTTGCTTATTAACTTGATTCCTGTAGCCACCTATTTCAACAAAAGGCTCCAGGCAGCATAAAAATACAATATAAAATAAAAAAAAATAATGAAAATAATAATATATGGTCAACAATATTGTATATATTATATAATATATAACAAATAACTAAATATAATTAGTTTGTATATTTATTTATTTATTTGCTTGTTTGCTTGATTTGTTTTTGCCATCAATTACTAAAAGCCTTTATCCATGAAGGATGCTTGGTGGTCTCTTAGTTTTGTTGTCTTCTTGCAGACATTTAATTACCCAAATTAGATAACTTCAACAGTGCTAAAGAACGGGGATTGATCTCAATTTATATGCTAGTGAGTTGCCCATTCAGTATTGGTGGGAATGGTCCTGGAGCTTCTTTATTTGAGCTGTTTACTGTTAGCTTGTTTGGAATTTCTTTGATTGGGGTATCACTTACATCTTGATTGTTGGTCTGATGTTAATCTTGGTGTTAATCTACATTCATCTGGGTGTTTATTGCTGGTGGGGAAGTGTTTTGATCTTTTTGTTCCTTTTTGGCTTCTTGTTTATCTCTTTTGCACAATATGTAGATGTCTATGTGGCTATTGATGGCCAATTTCTTAGAATACCAAGCTTCCAGAAATTCTCTTGGTTTAGTCTAGGATGGTCACAGTTACCCAGTTAAAACTATGGTTAAGTCTGTCTATATGATGTGAAATTAAAATGTTTTTATCATATCTTCTGTCTGCTCATTGCTGTACTTGGATGCATTCTGCTTGTCTTCTGCCTGTTTATCCTACGTAGTGGCTATTGCAGTCTTTACACCAGTGGTGGGATTCAAATATGTGAACAACTGGTTCTCTGTGTGGATGCTGCTTCTGGAAGTCCATTCTGGGCCTGGGCAAAAAAAAAAAAAAAATAGCTATCGGTTCTGCTGAAGTGATGCGAACTGGCTGAATCCTACCACTGCTTTACACTGTAAGTTGTAGATGACTCCAGTTTTTCCTTCTGGGACTGCTGGATCCTTAGGTTTATTAAGGATGCTTTGGAGCATTTTAGTTGGTTTGTGTGCCATGCTGATTCCACCTGATTATAATAATCTGTTGGTGGCTTCTGCATCAAAAACATCTCAGAAACTACTAACGTATCATTACAACCACATGGAATCAGCATAGTTCAGAGAGTACCAAGGACCCCTCATTTCAACCCGGAGCTACAAATATTCTTCTTTATCAGGCCTTTATTCATTTGCCATATTCAGCAATCAATATACAGAATTTAGTTCCTGGCCATATGTAGTTTCTCATTGACACAGCGTTGCTAAGACAGATTTCTATAAATTACAGTATTTATTGTTGGGGGGGTTTTTTAGAGCTAAAACTAATTTTATGGAAGACATACTGATTTAGAAATGTGTTTAGATAGCAAGGTGGGATTCCTTCAGTTTTCTCCAGGCTGGAATCTGAAACCTTGGGGGAGGGGGGAATTGTTAAAGGTTTGCCTAGTACACAAAATAATTCTGAGACATATTTTCAGAGAGCCCTCTGGCTGTATTAAAAAGTTGATGACACCGACAGTGGGGAAAAATGCTTATATCTACAATTCTCCATTATTTTCTCATTAACTTGAATTTTAAAGGGAATCCCATTAGTGCCTCCAGAGAATGAACAGTATAAATAAAAACTACAGATTTATTCTTGCATTAAAAGAAATGATATGGTAACAGGTTTGATTGTCTCTGCTGCATTTTAAAATCTTAAAAGATGAATTGTCTGATTTTTTTTTCACCCTTATAACCTTTTCTATATTGCATTTCACATCTCTAATTCCTTAGGGCTATGCTTATCTAATAATAATCCTTCCATTGTTCTTAGTTACCATGCCACAGCTAAAATTATCTCAGTACATTTTAACTAAAAAAAATAGTTTATTTTATTTGATTGCCAAGAATGCAGAGTGCTACTGCATAAGATTTACACCAGCAAAATTGGTGGAGATTAATCTGCATTGTTTAAATGTTTTTCTCACCAACTCATTTAGTCAGAATTATTCTTTCAATCAGTGCTACAGCATAACAGGTTTTTACTATGAAAAATTATAATATATTGGTGATCAATTATCTTCATGATAGACACAGAGAGATCAATCTACTGAAACTATAATCAATGGAATAAATTCCAAAGCAATAATACTAAGGATTTTTAAGTGTTAAGAATTGGTAAAGGCAAACCACACATAAGGACTAAATTATTTAAACCCTTCCTCTATAATTATTGCAACTGTGTCAGAGAAGACAGAAGAGAGGCATTTATGATCTGAAAGTTAATGTGTGCCATTTTACAGTGATTATCGCCAAGTATTACAAAGCATTCCTGCAATTATGAATGTCCCTACCTGGGAATCAGCTCAGCTGAACACAATGGGATTTACAACTGCTCAATAGACATGAGTTTGCTGTCACAGTGTCAGTGCAGTCCTATTAAATCTTATTGAGTTCAGTTGGCTTAACTCCCAGATAGGTAGCTGCAAGAATGTATTTTTGATCACTAATCAGAATGTGCTTTTTTTTTTAATTCTTAGGCATATGAAAGTAACCTATATATGTACTGACACAGATAAGGGAGAAGATGCAAAAAACAAATCCTCTCTTCCCCGCCCCTCTTCCTTCCATTCCCTCTCCTTTCTTTTTCTCTCTTATACTTATAGACATAAAAAGGCAAGGAAAAAAAAAGAGATTTTACTGTTTTAAAATATATGAACCAGAATCAAGTTTTGGATTTGACACCAAAGCAGTTGCAGGATCACAAAATGGGATGGTATGGTAGAGTAGAAATATATTTTCTTCTTTGTCATCCATTGTGTGGAGCATATTTTGAGATGAGTTATATTTCCCATCTCAGTTATAAAGATGGGAAAATATTTATAAACAGGGAGTAGTTCTTTTTCAACATAATTTCTTTAGGAAAAATAAAACTTGACTTCTTGGCTGTCTTTCTGGCGTAAGGACTACCCAAACCTAATTCAGTGGTCCAACATTATTGGCCAATCACACAATCATTTGGTCTTAAAAAAATCTTAAAAGTTGCTCCATCTAGTAGAGGCTGAGATACTTTCTTTCCTTCATGTAGCTACTTTCATTTTCCCTCTTTGTGCTTCTTTCAGTGCAATAATGTCTAATACTGTCTGAACAGTTTTGTCCTTTTTGAAAAATATGGCGAAACTGCCCAGATTCTCATAGCTGCAGAGGTGTCCTGTTAATGAAGATCAGAAGAAGCCCATATTCATATCTTCCAATGATATTGATTGCTATTCCCCATCAACCATTTTTTTGTCTAAAAGATAAAGTTATTATTGTGTTCCTTGTTTAGCATATATTAGAATCACATCTGGCTTTGTTGGTATCACACAGTAACAGTTTTGAAGAAAGAAAAAATAATAATCACCCCCAAATCCACCCTTTCTCTCACCTAAACTCTCTGAACTGAGTATGCCTGCTGGGTGACTTTGGGCCAATCAATCCCTCTTAGCCCAACCCAAATTTGTTGTTGTGGGGAAAATAGGTGGAGGAAAGAGTATTATGAATGTCTGTCACTTTGAGTTACTTTATAAAGTCACAAAGCAGATTAAAAAAGCAATTGATCAACCTATAGCTGATGTGATCTAAGAGAAGAGCCTTTTCTGCCATGGCCCCTATGCAACAGAGCAATAGGGGTGAGACTCTTGAAACCTTTATCTGCCTATTCCCAAGACAATGCAGTTAGTTTGTGTGGATTCTTGGAAATAAAGGAATAACAATAAAGAAACTATTTTGGCCTACTCCTAGTGTTGTTCTTGTTCCTTATGCCTGACAATTTTATTGTATTGTATAGTGCTTTTCAACCCACTGGTGGTACTTTGGCACCTGGCAGGTGGTATGCTTATAACGGGTTGAAAAGCACTATAAAAAAAACTGTAAAAAGAAATGTAAAAGTTTAGCGGGGGGGGGGGGGGAATGAGCTAAAGCAGCGGCAGAACCTCACAGGCCTGTGGGAGAGTCATCTAGAACTGCAGTGTTGCCAGGGCTCTGCTGAGTGCCTAAGATTGGTATGGGCTCCAGCTGATTGGCACTTCTGAGAGCAGCTTGTAGCCTGGGGGAGAGGAATCAGCTGGAATTGCACCAAAGAGAAAAGGAGGAGGGGAAAGAGGAGAGGATATAAAAGGAGGAGGTTTTGACGGGAAAGATAAAAAGGATGACAGAGAAAGAGAAGGGGACAGAGATGAGTCTGGGGGAGAGGAGTCAGCTAAAGTTGCACCAAAGAGAAAAGAAGAAGGAGGAGGGAGAAAGGAGAGAATATAAAAGGAAGACGTTTTGGTGGGAAAGGTAGAGAAAAAAAAGACAACGGGAGAAAAAGAAGGGGATGGAGAAAGAGAAACGGATGAGAGGCTTCTTTGAGACAAGCAGAGGGAGAGAAGAGGATAGAACAATGCAAAGATTAATGTCAGAGAAACAGGCACAAGTTTCCCATTAAAAACATGGTAAGTGGGTGTACAAATAGTCCTCAACCTACGACCCCAATTGAGCCCAAAATTTATGTTGCTAAGTGAGAAATTTGTTAAATGAGTTTTGTCCCATTTTACGACTTTTCTTGCCACATTTGTTAACTGAATCACTGCAAGTTGTTAAATTAGTAACAGGGTGATTAAGTGAATCTGGTTTCCCCATTGACATTGCTTGTCAGAAAGTTGCAAAAGGGGATCACGTGAGCCTGAAACATTGCGACCATCATAAATATGAATCAGTTGCTAAGCATTCAAATGTAAATCACGTGACCCTGGGAATGCTGCAATGGTATAAGTGTGAAAAATGGTCATAAGTCACTTTTTTCAGTGCCACTGTAACAGTCACTAATCAAAATGTTGTATTCGAGGACTACCTGTACTTTATCACTTTTTTCCTTTTTTGGTCAAGGAATACCTAGATGGTATTCAAATACCATCTAGGCGACTGATGGTACTTGAATACTGCCATATCCTAAAAGTGCTACAATCTGTAAAAAGTTTGAAAAGCCCTGGTATTGTAAACCATGCAGAGTCATTTTCGATAGTGAGATGGGATGCATTTAATAAATAAGTAAATAAGTTTATTGTAGCCTTAAAATCAGATAGTGTCAAATATCTAATAGTATAGCTGTTACAAACACACACATAAGCACAAATGCACCAATGTGTATAATAAAACTTTGATTAGAAGGAAAAAGATACTCTTATTTGTGTTAAAAACATGACAAACATGTCCATAATGTTTTTTTGGCAACAGTATGGAAGTGATTTCTATTTATCTCCTTTCAAACTTCCCTGTTTAGTTTACATGCCTGGCTTTTTAGGTAGTCTCTGCTTCAAATACTAACCTGATTCAATCCTACTTAACTTTTCAAAATCAGCACAAAACATAGACTAATAGAGTTGGAATGGATCTAACACCAAGCATCTAGCTAGCCCCAAGGTAGACAGATGCTGCCAACAATGGATTCTGAATTCTATAAGTAGGCTTAGGGCTAGGAAGTTATTCTGATAGTAAGGTTCTGATGGTAAAAAGAAATCTTATTTATTTGTTCTAATATTGGACAAGCTGGCATGATTCTCTAATTCCCTTCTTATTGAATCTGTCAGAATCCAATTATACTTCATCTCCAGTTATCAATTATAGAAAACCCCATTTCTGCCCTCTCTGGATTCTGTCATACAAGAAAGGGAAGGGGGTGAACAAAGGGGCTTTATGGCCCTCACTTCTTTCGGTACAACTTCAAAGGGATTGAATGTGGATAGCACCAAAAGGCCTTATCATAACAAAGGAGGCTATTTACCTTTCATGTATTTTTCTCTGAAGTCTCCATCCAGCCGGCAGAAAGGAAAAGGGGGTGGGATTGTGATGCCTGAAACTGTCACTGGAAGAGGGGGGTGATTGGGTGGGACTACTGGGGAACCCCTTAAAACCTCAAATGGGAAAGCTTGGACCCCAAGTCCTGTTTAGAACGCCTGCAACCATTTTCTCTTAATAAAGGATTCCTATTGGAAGAATTATTCCAAGAGTTCTGTCTTCTTAAGATGCAAAGTGGGGTGGGTCCTTACAGAATCCCTTACCTACTGCCTGTAGGTAAGGAGTAGCTCCCATTGTATATTTCTCTACATTGAATTTCTAAAGAAATTCCTGCCCAGATTTATTTTATTTTTTGGCCTTGAGTTGAGTATTTCCAGGAGATGCATTGACACAAACATGTATAAGTATCCTTCTTTCTTTTGGATCTCACTTACCTTGATCTACATGATATTATCCATTCTGTGATAATTGGTTTTAAGTAAATAAAGACTGTATTAAAATTGCTTTTAATCAATTAATTCCTATATAAAGTTATGCATTTGTACTATGGAGAAAACTAACAATGCCACCATATTTGTTAAAGTCTTGAATGCACAAACTTTCTAGGTTGCTTGGCTATATAAACAATACAGTGTAGACATAAAAGTGGGTAATGAAGTAGGTAGTAAACAGAGATATAATATGTTATTACAGGAATATAGATTTTGCATCATTAAAACAAGATTCCAGGGAAAAAGAATACTCTTAAAAAGCCTGCCTTATTCTGCAGTTTATTTTTGTTGCTTCTTTAGGTCTAAATTGGCTCCATGAACAACTTACCTGTCAGGAAGAGCAGCTATTTCCAGGTGACACAAATCCTACCTTTTGAGGCCAATGCTTAAAAGAATATCTGTAATTATCTCCCCAACAGCACAGAATATAGCCATTGTTACTTATCAGCTGCAAGGAGCTCAATTGTGGGTAGAAATTGGGATTTCCAACTAGTGTGAGCACAAAAATGACCATTTTCACATGGAAATGATAGGTTTTGTACAAGTAGAAACATTCAGAACTACTGTAGGGGCATTATTAAGAAACAGATGAAACTACATTTCCCAGGATGTCAGCAAAAACATGACTATTGCACAGATTTTATTGAGACATTACTTAGGGAAGAGGTGTCAAACTGCTGGCCCGTAGGCCGGATGCGTCACCTAGAAGCTGCGTCCACCCCAGCTCCAGCAAGGGGAAAAAAGTCATGATATGTTGCGGCACATCAAGTGACGCAGCAAGTTTGACACCCCTGTCTTAGGGCTACTAAATCTGGAATGCAAAAATCTGGATTATTACTGTCAGCAAAGAGGCTTCTGTGTGTGGAGTAATGCTAGAAAGCATGAAAAAGAGAGAATGTTGAAATCATAACTGAATGAGAAAAAAAGAGATTGCTGTAAAAAGAATGAGGGGAAAATACTTATAATGCATATATAGAAAAAATATAGTTTCAAAGAACAAAGTACAGCTAATATTAAAAAATGACTAGGAAATGTTGAGTGATTTTGATAGAATTTTGTTTTAATGTTTTGGATATGGATGAGCAAGGTTAAAAAGAACCTCCCACAGAGAGTTTGGAATTAAAAGGAAAAAAATGATGAAATTGTTTGAGATGAAACTGAAGTAAAGGAATGCAGGGAATAAGACAAATTTGTCTGATGTCACCTCAGAAGTTATGGATAAATGTATGGGGAATATTTGTAACAGCAGGATGTTGTTTAGGGATGTGAATGCATGTGTACTCAGTAGGATGATGTCATTAAAATTATGAAAGTGTAAATCCAGATGATTTGCAGCAAATGATTGTATGATATAATGAGGCTACATATCTGAAAAATGATATCAAAGAAGACAGTTGTGCTTCATAGGGAAGTGCAATGGTCTGTTGTGAAGAATAAATCTTCCCTGAAAGAAAGAAATAGCTATGTACTTCTGACCATTTTGTTGTATGGAAGAATGAGATGTATTTTTAACTAGTATGCAGATACAATTTTTATTTGGAGCTCAAATGGGACCTTTAAAGATGGTGTAGTCTAAATTCTTAAATAACATACTTTCTTCCCAGTATGTTTTTTTAAACATGGACTTACACTATGATCAAAAATTTGAAACACATATTTGGATATGCATCTTTCCTTACTGGTTAAATTTACATTTCCCCCCATGGGCTTGACATAGACAGCTGATCTTTTATTTTTTTCTCAAGCCAGCTAGATATCTAATTCAAATAGCAATTCCCAAATTCAGAAGAACCTTAATCTTGGCAATATATAATGCTCCCGACAGAGTTGAGCAGAGCAAACTATCATTGAACAAAGATGTTCTTGAAAAATTAACCAATGTTTTGTTATGTTGCTCTCATTAAGATATCCAGCTGCAGCTAATAATACCTCATGTAGTCAGATTTCAGGTCACCTAGATCCATTTTATTTGTAGTTGTTATCCAGTTATTGTGATTTTATTTCTCTTAACATGGCTCGCTTTATTTTACTATTTGCAAAACTTCTCTACTTTGACAACTCCAATTATAATTATTTGTTTTTTTCTGTGGTTTTTATTTGCTGTCTCACAATTTTTTTTCCTTCTGTTTCTTGAGCTGGTCAATGACTATAATAAAGTACTACTACTTTTTCTGATTTGATTGACTGACAAACCCATTGTTTTCTTAGACTCTTTTACAATATGTTTACTGAATGATTTCCTCTCCAAATCTCTTCTACCTTTAGGTAATAGCATTTCAGAGTAATGTGCCAGCTTATATACTAGATCATCATGGAGAAAAGTCTCTACATGGTTACAGAATTGACACCAGCTTGATGGCACTTAATCAATCAGCCCGTCAATTGAGTATCAGTTTATCACTTCTGTAATGTGAATGCTTGGTTCTCCTTGCATTTTGCCTGCCTATGTGCAAAACATAATTGCTTCAATTGTTCAGGCACTAATGCTTTTCTAAGCTACTTTTTCTCCATTGACTGGAAGTGCAAGGTTATTTTCAAGTTGATAATTCTCCATCTCTAGCAACTTTGAATGATGATTACAACTCATAATAGAGAGATAACAATGCATACATTTTCTGAGTGTGCTTCATTTCTCTATGAGAAGATCCTTTGGAATAAAAAGCATATTCATGTACATAAAGATACTTAGCGTTTTGGTGATCTATGCTGATTCCTATGGATTATATACAGCTGAACCTGAAATTTGAAAGCAGAACAACATATTATAAGAAATACTTTTTGTATACTTATAAAAAGTGTGAAACAGTCCAATAATAAGAATCTCCTTTTCTAAAGCTTCTCTTTTTTAACATGTCACATTGTTTGTTCTGATGGTGTGATGCTGTGCTTTCATACTTCATAGTTGATTGTCATAATGTAAAGCAGTGAAATACTAAAATAATGAGATATGGGGAAGTTATATAACATTACACAGGAGGAGAAGTTGACATAGGATCATTATTTTCCAAGTACAAGATATCATCTTATACCAAGTCTGATCATTAGTAAATCTAGTAGTTTAATATTGCCTACACTAATTGATGGTGGCAGAATTTCAGAGTACAGCATTCTCCAACTTACTCTGGAGACTAAACTTGCATCCTTTGGTATATAAAACTGTCCTATAGACTTGCCACTGAGTTATGATAGAACCATCTTCTTCCTAACATGCAATTTCATCTTAATAGTGCTCTTAGATCATATTTCTCAATTGGTAGGTCTCTCAATGTGGCTGAAAAAAACATTAGGGCCTTTAGAGGCTTGCTATGATGAATTTGCAAGGCATTCTGTGAATAAAATTGTTCATGCCTGCCCTTGTTTTAATACCACTTATTAGGACAGTTTCTATAGAATCACCCAGAGAACTGTTTAATCACTTTGTATGGAATTTTTTCATATTATGCCATATGAAACTATAAATAAAATGGTCAGAAGAGTTTATCCAATAAGCAAAAAAAAAAAAAAAGTGCCCAGTCTTTTGCTATCTTTTCTTGTTACACAGTGAGTGTGGGTATACATGTATGTGTGCATATAAGCTGAGTTAATTTAGGTACTTAACTTCCAGAAGGACCTTGGTGTAAAAGCTAGTTATGGGGCTAAAAACTGCATTTTGAGTGCCACAGAAGATTGCATAGTTTGTCATTATGTTGCAATATCTCCCATTTGTGCCTCTAGAAACCGTCCTAATAAGTGGTATTAAAACAAGGGCAGGCATGAACAATTTTATTCACAGAATGCTTCAGACACTTTGGGATGGAACTCATGTGTTTAGACTTGATTTTAGCACTGACACCCTCTGTACCTCATCACTGGACTCATTATTGGTTGTGATGAACCAGTGCATGAATCTTATTATATTATACTGTAGATAGTAAACAATAGATTGAAGCTCAATTTTCATTATGCGGAGGCCACAGGGAAAGTTTTCCAGCATGGAAAAATGATTTTCAAACTATTATTGATGCTACTGCATCATTTTGGAAAAAGTAGACTCACAGCATTATAATCTGAAAAGAATTGTTCAATTCTGACTCCAGTTCAAGGTGACATGTTCAAATTTATCTTTTTTGTTGTAAACATTGTAGTTGGTACAATTTAACAGTCCACTTATGCAGCTTGTTGTTATTTGCTATTATAATGATGTTTATGATTTTTAGAGTTATTGAGTATATTACAGGTGCAATCCAATACACTTCAGCCAAGGTTGTTCTCCACTCTGAGGTCCAGAAAGCAAGCATGATGACACTTATGCTCATTAATTTTTATGAGCATATTCAAATGATATGAGCCAAGGCTAATACCTAGCAAATGATGTAATTGGGGCTGGAAGAATAGTTGCATATCAGATACGGTATTTCCAATCCACTATTCAAAAGACTTTTCAGTGGAATCTGCAGTTTGTGTATGGATTTCCATTATTCTTCCTTTTCCCAATGGGGGGGGGAGAGAGAGAAAGCATCAGGATTTCTATTTTCTGATTTAGCTCTTAAAATAATACCAAATATGTTGGTTATCAAAATAATGGAACACCTTTTATTATTTTAGTATTTTTATTATGTACAGCTAACTGTATGTGTTCTTCTGCTATTTACATACCTGCTTTGCATTACATAAATCTGTTTTACCTTAATTAGAGTCTTCACAAGAAATCAATGACACTTTGTTCAAAACAAGCTACTTGTATTCTTATCTTATCATTATTGTTTCTTAGAGTTGTAATATGAATCTTTAATGCTGTAAGATACTGATACATCCCCAACTATGTTAGAAATGTATATCTATGAGGATGCCTCCCTTCTCCCCCCCCCCCAAAGAAACCCCACTGATATCCATTTGTCCACTTTTCATGAATTAAACAGGAAGGAGGATTTCTCTAGTGATATTGGAGACCCAATTAAATCACCCATAAGGATTGTTTCATTGTTGTTTCTCTGGAACAAAACAAAAATATGCTTTGAATAATGATGTTCAACTACCAGAACCATAACATTAGAAAAAGCAGGAAGGGGAAATATGAGCCCTCGGTTCCTCAGATCTTCACAGAGTTCCTTGTCATTGTAATGTTATCAAAAATAGATCTGCCCTTTATAGTTCCAGGGAAAGGGAGAAGGAGAGGATTCTTGTCTTTCAAAAAGTTATGTGATTTTGCTATCAGATATAGCGTCAGCATGCCTCTGCATAGGAAGCTCATATTTGGTTGGGTGCTGACATATTGTATGTAAATAACAGCACCAGTTCTGTTCAGTCTGCTTGGATTGTATAGATATAATATAACAATGTGAGACTGTAAAAAATAGAAGTATTGTATAATAAAAAGGTCTGGCAAAATAAACATATTTCCTTAAACAGTACTATTTTTAACTACCACCTTATGGAGATCTTTTTTTACATTAATGGATTACTTGCCCCAAAAATATTCTTCATTGGTTTGAGCAGAGGTCCCCAATCTTTTGGGCACCAGGGACAGGTTCCGTGGAGAAAAGTTTTTCCATGGACTATGTTTTGTGTGCTGCCTGCATCCCGTGGATGGGGCTTTGCTTGTTTGTGCACCCCGGTTGCTAGCATGCCGCAGCCTGGTACTGGTCCATGGACCAGGAGTTGGGGACCCCTGGGTTTGAGAATGATGAGTCCAAACATCATCTCTACCTGTTAGACAGCCAACGCTGTATAAAGTGATATTATGATATCACAAGTCAAACTCCATATTTTATCAACTTGTGTCCAGTACCAACACACAAGTAGGTTGCATTCTGATAGCACAGTTGTTCTCAACCTTTTTAATGTCACGACCCCCAACCGGTCGTAAGTCGAGGACTAAACCGGTCATAAGTTGAGGACTACCCAACCGATCGTAAGTTGAGGACTTTCCCTGCCCGGGACCGCCGCGCATGCATGGTGCTGCCCCCTGCACCGGCCGATGTGTAGCTGGCAAGCGGCAGAGACGGAGCAGGCCGACCACCGGCTAGGCCATCAGCTGGCCCAGCCCAAGGGAGGTAAGGCACCCGCCGGAAAAGGGAAAAAAATGGTGGACAGCCTTGCTTGGCGACCCCCGTGAAATGGTCAATCGACCCCAAATGGGGTCACGACCCATAGGTTGAGAACCGCTGTGATAGCAGAACACAAGTTTGATTCCTAGGTTTTGTTTTTGGGGGGTTTTTGGTCACTGCAGTTAATAAGCAGAGGTTTATACTTCTTCACAGTTATGTTGGATTTCCTTCACAGGCATATGCACAACACAGAGTGTAAATTTTTTACACACAGTGCTTTCAATGCTTCTATATCATGCCTGGACCCATCTTTTCCCTACTGGGTCTAAGAGCCTGCCAGCTGAGGGAATTGGTCTGTTCTATTTTTGCTGAGAAGACAAAGAAAGCCTTGCAGGGAAAAAGATTAAAATCATTCCTGTTTCAGCTAGCAATTGACAGTTTAAGTGGGATACCTATCTTTATATTTTCAAGGAGGGCAAGAACTGAACACTTCACAAAGATGGCCCTATTGCCCTTAGAATTTGCTCCCTGAGGCAATCACCTCATTCTACATAATGGAAGCCTAGCTTGCTATGTAAAACCTCATTCATTTTCTTTCTTTCTTTCTCTCCCACTCTTTTTCCCTGTTTAATGTTTATTCATCTTCAGTTTTTTTCCTGCTGTCCTCAAAACTAGAATTTGTGCTTTCCCTCCATGTTCTCCGGCTTATTAGTTTCTCCATGTTGCTCTCAGTCTCTTATGCACATAAATGGACATAAAAATGACTTCATTTGTATTCTAACAATTGACAACCCAATTTATTCTGACTTGCCAATTCACGTCAAATCCTTCAATATGAAGGCGTATCAGACAGCCAGTTCTTTTAAAAGAATGCATTTAAATGCAGGCAGGCAAACATTCCATCGTATCAGCAGCATTTACATGTTCCTCAATGATCTTTCAACAAAATTCCCATATTCGCTTTTAGAAATAAAATCCTTGCTTCCCACCCAGCTGTCTTAATCAAAGAATACAATTACAGTGAAAAAAGACAGCAAAATACAATCTTTCATTGTCTGGCTACTATGATAAAATACGCAAGATGACCTTGACAGAAATTTGAAAGCACCATTGACTAGGCAAAAGGGGCTAAAACATTTTTTCCCAAGTCCAGAACAATGAGATAATGTTTGTGAGTGGCTCAGGAGATGCCTCCCTAATTCAATGGAGCATAAGAAAGGAGAGTTGATGCACCACAATAAGACTCATATAAGTTTTGTTGCTATAGCCAATCTTTCTAGTCTCTTTCCTATGGATTTGACTTCTTAGTGGGACTGTTGTTGTTAGCTTAAAGGTGCTTTTTCAAAAGGCAACTGGACTATTTTTTCCTTGAGGAAGACATTTCGCTTCTCATCAAAGCATCTTCATTACTTCTGGCAGGATGGTCAGGATTTTGGAAGAATTAGTTCTGGCAGAATGGTGGGGGCTGAGTTGGAAGGCTCATATTTTTTGCAGTCATCTGGTCATTAGCATTCTCCCTCAGAGCTCTTAAGGCCACTTGGGGGATTGTTGTTGTTAGCAGTGTCTATGGAGATTCTTAATCATCTAAGTCATAGTTATCCCAAAGGTGCTTTTTCATGGGGCAACTGGGCTTTCTTGTTTTTCTTTGAAGATCTTTCACTTCTCATCCAAGACTGGATGCTGGGGAATGGAATATAAATCCTTCCATTGCCTTGTGAAAAAGCATCTTTGGAATAACTTTAGAAACAGTCCACATAAGAGGCTCAACCATGAGTACTAATGTATCTTTGCTGTAAAGATACATTAACAAAATCTGGCAAGATTGAAAATATTTCTGCCTGTCTTACCTTTTGTTTTCTGGAAAATTAGGGAGGGCTTCTCATACATCCTCTCCTTCTGTAGTCTGAGAAATCATTTACATGACATTGTCCAGTCTGCAGCTTTTCCTCTTATCTCCCATGATCATTAGCACATACCACTACAATTATATAGGTAGATATAACAGTGTAATTTCAATTGTCCAAATCTTTTACCCATGAAAGATCTCTGTGTCATAATATAGCATATTCAGGTCTATTAATCATGGAAACATTGAACCACAGTACTGTGCTTTTTTCACGCACCACTTAAATTCTTTTCTCTCCAAATAAAAGTCCAAACTTATAAGTGATGCAGATACATATATTGCCAGAAGTAGAGTAGGACTGAAAGGTGGAAAATTTATGAGAAAGAACAAGAGTCAATATTATTAGAAAAGCTGCACTTCCTACCATCTCATTAATATGATGCAGTAATACTTAGAAAATTTAAGCTAGAAATAAATTGCACCCATCAAATTTACTAATGGAATGCATATTGCTTTCGACTTAAATATTTTTTTATGCTAATCCTGATAAACTAGATGAAATAAAGACCACTGGCTGGGAGCCCCTGGCCTTCCTCCATGTTCCAAAAGTTTGAAACATGACACCTAGTTCACATAACTTTATTCCATAGATATTCCTCTTCAAAACACTCAACCTACCTTCCTCAGCTTTGTAGTGAATTTCTGTAGCCCTTTTACATGCTGAATTTCCCATGGTGTCATCTTATTCAATTATAGATTAATAAATGCTCACTTCACAAAAAGTTTTCAACAGAATGTAAGAGTTTGTGCTTTAGCCTTCTGCTGAAAATGCTCATGAATAATGACACATGGCTGCTACAATCAGTTCAAAAAGGGGCAAGAACTCCTATTCCAGTTCTATGTTTAACTTGCGGAAGCCAGCAAGGGACAAAAATTTAGTTGTAGTTCTGAGTTGTTATACATGAGATATCTATTGTTTTTTAACCTTCCAAATCTGCCTGGTCTTTGAGCAAGAAGGAAAAAAAACTGAAAACAGACACAATGCAACTGTTGAGGAAGCAAAGGTTCATGGACAACATCTGAAAAGTATGCAGGGCTAACAGATTTCAATACACATGTCACTCATGCCTCTTGGAAACTGTGGAACTCTATTACTGGGAGTTTTTAGCAGATAAGGGAGGTCAGCTTAGTAACCTGCTGTCAGAAGTAATGAGGAACAGATTGCTCACATGCAGTCAATGGCCATAGCTACTGCAAATGTGAATCTCTGCAAAAGAGATAAATGGGACTCTTCTAATAGCAGTAGGCCCTCTCTGACATCACTGTACTTATCTATCTGATAGACTTTCATTCTGTCAAACAACAGTATCAACAAGAACTACAATGGCTACTTATAAGCCTACATTTTTGTGTCATTTCTACACAAAACTTCAATTTGCACATTTCAAGAGAATTCTTGAATTGTAAGTAGAGTAATTACAACCCACTGTTGTTACTCAGTGAACCTAAAAGGGGATACAAACTATAAATGCCAATGAAATCTCTTAATGATGTCAGGTTCTGGAAACAGGTTCTGGAAAGAAAATATACTTTGGTTTTCAGAAAAGGATATCCTTATGGATCTGTAGAATGCAACATTGTTGATCCCTGCCTCACCCATGAATATTCAACAATGTTGCTTCTTTTCACAATAATATTTTTACTAACTGAGCTTAGCTGTTTTCTTGCAGACTTTTCATTAACCATTCAGATATTATGCTAGCTAGAAGAACATGATAAATAGAAATTACCACCAAGATAAGGTGGCACAGCAGTTAGAGTGCAGTACTGCAGGCCACTTTAGCAGGCCACTGTGTTCAGCAGGTCAGCAGTTCAAATCTCACCGGCTCAAGGTTGACTCAGCCTTCCATCCTTCCGAGGTAGGTAAAATGAGGACCCAGATTGTTGGGGGCAATGTAAATATATATATATGCATTGCTTACTGGTGTACACCAGTAAGTGCTTGCACTTAAAGCGGTATATAAGTCTCATAAATAAATAAATAATAAATAAATACCAGGCCAAATCATAAACAATATTCCAATCAGGAAATTACCAATTCAGACAAACAATCAAACAGTAAACAACAGCCTAACCAAGGAGCTACTAAGAACACTCCCACTCCATCCCATATAAACGGAAAGCAAACCTGTTCCCTCCTATACTGATGATGTTATCTATTTGGGTAATAAAATGTCTGTGAAAACAACCAAGCTCAGAGAGCACCAAGAATCCCAAAGCTTGAGCTACAAATATATATTTATATTGATATCCTTACTAAAGATTATACAGTAAAAATATTGCAAATGTTTTGAACCTCACCTGTTTTACACCAACTGCAAATGCTGTCTTGGGATGTAAGGCTGGCACAGATGCATCTGTGGAATTTTAAAAGAAATAAGTTGTGTGAAATCTATCAAAAGCATCTCTAGGGACTACTAATCATTCTTAATTAGTCTGATTTCTTCTAGTTTTTGAACAAGTTCAGCTTTCCCCCCCCAGTAAGGAACAGAAAAACACCTTTGGAGATTCTGTAATAATTTTGATACCTATCTTAAAGAATGAGGTTAATTTAAATGAATGGCAGAAAGGTATCAATAAATTTATCTGGGCAGGGAAAAAACCAAGAGTAAAGCTTAAAATAATACAAGATATTCGTGAGAGAGGTGGACTCAAGGTACTGAATTTGAAATTGTATTATGATGCTGTGGTTTTAACATTAATTAATGATTGGGTTAATTTAACAAATGCAGAAATACTCCTCTTGGAGGGTTGGGATTTACTTTTTGGATGGCATGCCTACTTAATTTTTAATAAAAAAGTTGACAGGGTTTTTAAATCTCATATTATAAGGATTTCTTTACTTCGGGTTTGGAGGAAATATTATAGAAGTGATTTTAAAATTCCATTATGGGCTATACCCTGGCACGCGATAGAGGGGATAAGGAGAGGAGTCAAGATGGATAGTGTTTCTTACGCACAATTACTTAGATGGGATGGTAAAAATTGGCAGTTAAAATCTTTGGAAGATCTAGCACAAGAAAGTATTATATATTCATGGTTTCAGTATAGACAAATAGTGGATAGATGGAAGTTAGATCGTAATGTGGGTGTGCTTAGAGAAGATGAAATTTTTTTTAAACAAGTAAAAGATCAAAGACGAACTCATATTAAGAGAATTTAGGGGGTGCTAGTAGAATTGGACTCAGAGGCAGAATTAATTAAAGAATGTATGATCAAATGGGCACAAAATTTTGGTGAACCAGTTCTACTAGATACTTGGGAAATTATTTGGGTGAGGAATGTTAAATTTACACAAGCCCAGAACCTAAGGGAGAATTTTTATAAAATGTTTTACAGATGGCACCTTGATCCACAAAAAATGTCTCGTATGTATCCTGACTTACAGCCCAAATGTTGGAGATGTGGTTGTTTGGATGCTACTTATTATCATATTTGGTGGTCGTGTAAAAATATAAAAGCCTTTTGGATTAAGATATGGTGGAATATTCAAAGAATTTTTAGAAGGAGGGTAAAATTTACCCCACAATTGTTTTTGTTAGGTATTGTTACCGATTGTGATACTAAGGAGGTTATATTGATGTTAAATTTAATCACAGCCACAAGGTTGTTAGTAGGACAATGTTGGAAGAAGGAATCTTTGCCTACTTTGCAAAAGTGGTTTTTTAAAGTTTCTTACTTGGCGGAAATGGCAAAGATTTCGGCTTTTTTAAAGGATCAATCTCAAGAGAAGTATTTTGCGGTATGGGAAAAATGGATAGATTTTATACAACATAAGTTGGATATAAAAAATATTATTTAGTTTTTCAATAACTTATATATAAATTTTAATATCTTATAGATTGTATTTTTTTCTTCTTCTTTTTCTTTTTTATTTTTATTTTACTTTCTTATATTTTTTTCCTTTCTTCTTCTTCTTTTTTTATTCTTTTTCTTTCTAAGCATTTTTTATTTCTAATATTTATGCTTTTTTTACACATATATTATTGTTAATTATTTTATAAATTGTTTAAGTAATGTATTTAGACTTATTTATGGTTTATATATTTTTTAAGACTTTAAGAAATTTTACTTAAGCCTATATTCAGCTCTGGGAAGGTTGGGGGAGGGAGTGGGAGGGTTGGGGTGGGTCGGGCAGGGTTGTTTTTGTAAAAACTTTAAAAATTTTCAATAAAAAAAAAAAGATTTCCACTTTTTAAATGGAATGTTTCTGCTAGCTATCTCATTGTAGCAAACCAGACTAAAGGCCTGAATAATTTAAGCAAGTTTCTTGCACAAAATCAATAATTGTTCATCAAGTTCTGCTCACTGATTTTTTATCAATACTATATAAAAACTAAAATCCAGAAAAATAATTCACTATTATACTTTTATCTATTGTCTCTATATCATTTTATGTTTTATTACCTATTTTATTACAACATATTTCTGTTCCACTAATTCTGTCATAAATGGATATATTTCTTAATGAGCATTAATATTTGCTTTTATCTTTACAATTCAACTCAGCTCCATTCCTTTGTTTTCCCCACACAAACTGTTAGCACAAATAAAAAATAATGCAGCTTTTAAAATGTAATTCCTATATCACACTGATGAGTCATTATTAATTATTTATTAATATTTAGCAAACTTCCCGCAGTAGGAAATTTCAATTTTGAATTGATTTCTTTCTATTCATCCCCCTGGTGGACCTTAGTGGTAAGCTAGGGGACCGAGCTTGGCTATTCTTCAAATAGGTATTCTTCAGATAATTTAGTACCAGATTTAAGGTTTCTAAAGATGATGGTCTTGGTATAGAACCAATGAAACCAAAGCAACTAGCGATGAATCAGTATAATATCCTATGATCACTTGGTTCTTCTTCTTGTTCCACGTCTAGGTCAAACTTCAAACTGCCAGAATGAAGCTTTGGCTTTGGCCAAAAATAATTCATTATTGGTACAAGTTGCTGGAAGTAACATACAGTATCAGTGGATGGACTGGGCTCTGTGTCTTTCCACATTCACATAGCATGTTGTTATCTGCTAAGAGCCTCCACTTGAGCAAATTGGTTTTACATTAGGCACTTCAACCACAATCTATTCAGGGATCACTTTGATCACTTGGTTTACTAAGGCATCTGCAGAGTAATTTGTAATAACATGCCAGTCTGGATGTAATTAGTGGATGGGTTAATTATAATAATAAAATCTGTTTTCTTCAGATAGTTAGTAAAGTTAACTATTTAGTTGTAGTATTACCCTATGTGTTTCTATCCTGATTTCCTGTCCTATACAAATTACTTATCATTTCATTCTTTGTCCCAAGTATTTGTTCAAGACATCTGTAACCCTTTCAGATTTGAAAGTCAAATTGTGAGATGAGTGTTAATAGCATTTTAATGTAAATTTCCAGACTTTTTTCACAGTTCCTTATGTAGATGTTAAAAAATTACAGGGGCATTTTTGAAGTATTTTATAAGCTATAGATCATTAGCTATACAGGTAGTCTTCTACTTACAACAGTTCATTTATTGACTATTCAAAGTTACAACAGCATTGAAAAATGTGACTTATGATCGTCTTTCACAGTTATGATCTTTGTAGCATCCCCATGTGGTCAAAATTCAGATGCTTGGCAACTGGTTCATAAGTAAGACATTGCTGTATCCCAAGGTTATGTGATCACTTTTTGCAACCTTCTGACAAGCAAAGTAATGGGGAAGCCAGATTCGCTTTACAACTGCAGTGATTCACTTAACAACTGTGGCAAGAAAGGTCATAAAATAGGCAAAACTCATTTAACAAATATCTCATTTACTGTAACAGAAATTTTGGGCTCAATTGTGGTCGTAAGTCGAAGATTATCTGTAGTAAGAGTTTTCCAGCACCACCTTCTGTTTCTCTGGAAGGGTAGGATTTACCATACCATTGTGCTTCCTGGTTCTGTCTTCTTTAATGCAAAAGTTTGCACTTTTTCCTGTAATTGCCTGGAAAAATCCCTGTATCAGGTTGGCCAAAGGAGGTCAGAAATTAGACTGAAAGAACTCTAAATAACAATCCATTCTGCAATGTATTGAACATCATCTTCTTAAGCACCTTGTTCAAAAACAGCACACAAACACAAACTTTTTTTAAGCATCTTATTCAATAATGGCACATGAGACTAAATAGATGGAATGCCCAGATGACTCAGTCTGATTTTTAACAGAAACAGACCCTACTTTCTTTCTGAAAAACATAGGTACCAAAGTGTTATTTGACCTAGAAGATTTGAACAATCAAGGAAGGATATGGATATAAAGGACAGGTGATGGTTAATCAGTGTATCAAGCATTTCTGTTTGCCATAAAAACAAATATATTTATTAAAAATCAATTTCATACACTTATCTGTACAAAAGAAAATTTGCAATGCATGCCAAAACAACTAGATAACAAAGACAGTTTTTCCCTTGTGCCATCACTCTGCTAAACACCTAATTTCAACAGCACTGTCTTATGCCTAAGAATATTTTATCCATGTAGTAGGGCTGTATTGCTGTTATTCTTCACATCTTTCCTATTACCTTTTCCTATTGGTATCTTATGAATTATCACTTTGTTCTTTGTATCTTATGAATTATGATTGTATTTTATGATTTATGATTTATCATTTTGTTGTTTGTATGTGTCCTGACAGCTTATGTATCTACAACTGAGAGCTTATGTTTATATGTACACTGTATGTTTATATGTACACTGAGAGCTTATGCACTGGACACATATTCCTTGTGTGTCCAATCACACTTGGCCAATAAAGAATTCTATTCTATTCTATTCTATTCTATTCTATTCTATTCTATTCTATTCTATTCTATTCTATTCTATTCTATTCTATTCTATTCTATTCTATTCTATCCTATTCCTGGTAAGCTAACAGTAATTACTTATTAATTGTCATCAGTAAGATGGTAGTTTGCTACCTTCAAACCAAGAGACAAAATATTAACTTTATTATATGTCTATTTTGGAGATAGGAAGAGAAACAACAGTACAGGTGGCCTCATTTAATGATAGCCCAATGTGGTAACCACTCACAGTTACAGTGGTGATGAAAAAGTAACTGATTTGTAAAGCAAAGAAAAACTGAAGTAAGATGGTAAACACAGTCACAGTTTCATTTAGTGACTGATTTCCTTAATGACTGAATTGTGGTAGCTAAATGAGGATTGCCTGCATACATATTCAATTTAATAAATATTTCAAACATCAACATTTATTCTTTATAAATATCCCATGCATTGCAAAATTGCTACTCCTTCATAATTTTGCAACTTTCTTCTTCCTACAACTTACTTCATTCAAGTGTTAATAATTTATAAAGCAGGGGTAGGA